GAGCCGTTGACTGAAATAAGTCACTATTTCAAGCTTCCTGATCTATATGTTAAGGTTAAAAAAATCATATGAAAAACATGACACCCCAGCCTTAAATAACACAGATATGTCTGTAGTCTTGAAACATTACGTAATAAAAAGATTTTCTTCAATGAAATATGTTTGATAATTACACCTTATGTAAGAATCCTGGGTTTTGATTGGTTGATAACCAGTGTATTTTTCACCAATTTACTTTTATCAAATGTCTTTTTTAAACAGCGCTGGGGTATATATAAAAAGGATATGCCTTTTTTACCCTCTCTGTCGTGGTATTTGCCAAAAAATACTCTATACGACTGGACGCTTGTAATGTCACGATCATCAATGACAATGCGTTTAATGTCACGATCATCAATGCGTTTTGTACGTTAACATTCGGTGTAATTAAACAGATATAGCATGTTCTTGAGGGGTATTTGCGAAAAATACCAGTCTTGAGAATGAATTTCCCTCGCCTTACGGCTTGCGAAATTTAACATTCTCTCGACTGGTATTTTTCGCAAATACCCCTCCTTAACATGATATATCTGTTCAACATGCTTAATTACTAGCACCATATTTGACTGAATTTGCACCCTTAAATCTTAAAGTAAGCGTTACACATCGATTTTCAGAAAACGGTAAATTAACACAATAACATCATTTGTGATTTTATAGATTGTATGAAAATGACATATCAACCAAATTAAGATAAAACTTGCGTTGAGAAAGTTAAGTAAATGTGGATGGGAGTTTTAAAATTTTGATATATGTTTATTGAACAGATATATCATGTTAAGGAGGGGTATATCGCTCAGGGTAAAATATTTGTCATAAAGGGCCAACCCGTGGTAAAATCACGATAAATTCTGGGTCCCGGTAAAGTGAGAAACGGAACAGAAACGAAACAGAGCGAAACGAAACGAAACATGGCGAAACGAAACGAAACACAGCGAAACGAAACGAAACACGACGAAACGAAACGAAACATTTAAATTGAGAAACGAAACACTACGAAACGAAACAAAATCTGTATTTTGAGGAACGACATATAGAAAATCTTCCTGACGAGATATGTGCATAGCCGAAGACACCGAATATTCCATTCAGCTTTGAAAAAATTACTCGTCATTTACATTGGTATCTTCGTGCATTAGTTGCAATTAGCTAACTTGTTTTGTTAAATGTGAGGCTTAGGTGCGTCAGCTATGCTACAGAACCAGTTCTAGCGGCTTCTTGTCACGTGCAACAATGAGGGAACATTGAAATTAGAATAGATGTTAATGTGGATCGTCTGAATATCAGCCTCAACTGACAAAATTGGCCATTCTTACCTTTGTGACTAGGATTTTTATGTACCGCCTACGGTAGTGGGGCATAATCTTTTCTGGTCTGTGCTGCCGTCCGTCAGTCCGTCCGTCCAATACTAGGTTTATTCTGTTTGTTAAGATAGATTAATTTACAACGAAATGTGTTCATGTCAACTTAAAACTATACACATGTTCATTATGACATGTTCTTTTTGAAATGTATGCCAAATTAGGAATTTGAACCTTAATTTGCGATTCAATGAACATGAAAATTTGATATTTTAAGCGAGTCATACTGTCCTATGGATACTTAACACATGACATGAGTAAAATCTCTTTGTTCTTACTGTGCTATAATCTGGATAATGCACAGCAAAGGTGTGCATTTACTACCTCAGATATACTGCACAGTTCAAAAGTACTCTTACCTTTAGGGGCGGACCCTCGATTTTGAAAGGAGTGTAATTCCATATAAAATTTAAAAAATATCACCAAGTGTACATGTAGCGAATATAAAAAAGAAGATGTGATATGATTGCCAATGAGGCAACTCTCCAAAAGTGACCAAATGACATAGTAATTAACAACTATAGGTCACCGTACGGCATTCAACAATAAGCAAAGCCCATATCGCAGTATATTTAGAAAATTCTTGATGTTTTAACGAAAAAATATCATCAAGATAAAGGTAAGTGTTGTTGAATTTATCAGTTAAATGCAATTTTGACGGGTCTGTACTTAGTGTGGTCATAAACTATGATTCATAACAGTACAAAAACAAGTCTGCTATTAAAGGGGCGCAATTAGTGTCCATTGGAATACCTACAACCTGTCGATAAAATTTGTTGCCAAAACGTACATAAATATTATCAAGGGGAAATTCACAGCTTCAATCATCTCATCCCACCTCCAGTAAGTATATCTAGCATATTTACCTTTCACATTAGAGAAGAAGGCTTTAACTGAATTGCAGCAAATATATTTGCATTCAGATTTACCAAACGACCATTTAATTAAATAAGAAAACGTTTGTTTGGTAAGATTGTGTGGAGGTGTAGTGTAAAGAGTAGAAAATTCGCTTTCAGATCCACCAAACGACATTTAATTAGAGTAGAAAAGTCAAAACTGTCAACAGAATCCAAAAGACCATCAAAAACATCTAATTTATTTAAATCATCCAATTTTTTTCACTCCAAAATAGACGATTTTATGCTAAAACATATGTTTTCCACATAAAGGGTGGGACATAAAATATTTTATAATTTTTTGTGTACAATGTACATCTGAAATCAGTGTTTCCCAGTTAAACCAGATAATAATATTTTTTTTTGTAATTTCTGCCGAAAAAGAAATGTATTTTAGAATATCCAAATAAATAAAATCTGATTTGGATTATAGTTTCGTGCTCAATGGAATTAATTACGACTATTTAGATATGTATGCCTTTTAAGTTTTGGGATCGAATTTAATGAGGAACATATTCAAGTTTGTATCAAAGCAGGTTTGGGGGATAAGCTACAGATCAATCAGATTTTGTTTCGAAGCGACATGTCTTTAAAATTAATACAGTAAAAAAAATGGAGGGAGGGGAAGTTAAAGATTGAAAAGTGTAACATTATTTTCTGTTTACATATTAATATTTTTAATTTAGGTACATCTCCGCATGGGAAGGTCGACTATTCATATGTATTATATATTGATAGAAACAAGTGTCTGTGTACATCTCTCTTTGGTTCATCTTCCTAGAATTATTGAGGGAAAGAAAGACAATTAATCTATACACAATAACCAGTTTAGTTATAATTTTTCATGCACCGATTCAAAAGTACACTCAACGGAACTAAAACTGTATGAAATGTAGGTTACACGTCAATAAGACAGTAACCAAACGACAAGAACAAACTAAGGACATCTAGAAGGCAACATATAGTATAATTTCAACAATAGATAGGTGTCTACACAATATGTCCATTTCTAATTCGTCACTATAACATATTCTAGTTTGTATTCGTTTCTTCTTTGTTTTTAAGTTTCAAAGATTTTTTATTATGGCAGTCCATGACCATGATGACATTCTTCTTCTTTCATTTTGTTGCAAATCAGGCAAGACATAATCTCGTTTAATACAAGTTCAATTCATATTAACCTTTTAAACTACTTACAACAGGTACCATCGACTTCAACTGTATGGAGATGCTGTATGTACTTCGTAGCTTATCTTTTGAAAATGTGGTAGATACTATACCTAGTAACACGCGTCTGTCAAGATAAATGGCGAATAACAAAACACAATATTCGGTACCGTAAGTTTAAAAAAGAAAGTAGAACATGACGAGTCGAACATACAATATTGTATGAATAAAAGGAGAAAAGTGACTGTGCTCCAATACCACTTTAGATCACAAGGTCACGATTAAAAATTGCCTCGGGTCACTAGGTCACTTTTAAGCAAACTATTCAGTTCTAAACTGATTTGATTCTCGGTTTAAATATTTTAAAGGTCACATGTAATCCAAATGAGATACTCTCTCTAAATAAAGATATTATTATTATTATTATTATTATTATGTACTTTCAAAAGAGACGTCAGGTCGCAACGTGGTCAATCCCCGCCTTTGACGTCCCAGGTCGGACTTGACAATGTTGTAGCCACATATAGGGTGAATGCATCCAACTTGAACATTTGGATCCTACTACCTAAAGTTATGTATGGCAAAGTGTCCATACCATTTACATATTTTGGCTATGGTTATTTCACTTGGGATACGTACATGTAAGTGTTTCATTCATGAATCAAATACCTTTCTTGGCACAAACTCATAAACAATAAATGATAAAAACCTATTGCAGATTATTGCATATACAATGATATTAACAGACGTGATCGAATGAAAAGTTATACATACTAATATATGATAACAATGTGTGGGACTATAAAGCATAGAAATATACAAAGCGCAATAGAACTGGCCTGTAATGCGTCCTTTCTAGTGCGGCAATCAGTGAAGTTAATCCCAGTGTGTAATGTGTGTTCGAATAAACCGTTATTCACACGTTCTCTTTGGGTTAAACGAGATCTTTTGTATACATATATAAAAAAGGAGAGACAGATCCAGAGTTTAAGGAAAGGGGGAGGCATAATTGTCCAAAAAGATAAACATAGTTACCACCAATGTTGTTTTTTTTACGATTTTTAAGCAAACGATTAGATGATATCAATCAAAAGGGCCCTCTAAACCCACACTGATCTTCGGCTATGTCAGGAAGATTTTCAATAGGTGGTTCCTCTAAATACAGATTTTGTTTCGTTTCGTTGTGTTTCGTTTCTCAATTTACATGTTTCGTTTCGTTTCGTCGTGTTTCGTTTCGTTTCGCTGTGTTTCGTTTCGTTTCGCCATGTTTCGTTTCGTTTCGCTCTGTTTCGTTTCTGTTCCGTTTCTCACTTTACCGGGACCCATAAATTCTAGCCCCATGAATTATTTCTTAAATAGTACATAGAACAGCAGGAGTGATCTGTTCCCTGAAACAATTAACTAAAGCGAAACCCAACGTCCACGGGAAATTTAAAAAAAAATATTTTTAGTATTTTCTTCCTAAATTTTGAATGGGATCTGCAAAATAAATTTACCGGAAAAGAGTCCGGAATTGACTTGTTTTGTAGACGCAATGGGAAGTAACTATGAAGGAAAATGAAGGGGATTTTTTTTCTGTTGCAGACAACCGATAAGCAGTAGATAAAGAGACAAGACAACGAGCATTCAAGCAAAACATAATTATTTGAGAAAAAAATCTGTTTTTGCATCTCTAAGTGAGCCATTTTATGTCATAAATAAAAGAAAAAAGATTTCCAAGAACAGATTCCAAACACATGTTGTCGTGGTCATTGGTCAAATTTGCAAGTTGTGGCAAGTCTTTTCAATTAAAAACTTTTAACTTCAAATAGATAGAGAACAGGGACATCAGACACTTGCCTTGCTTTGAAAACACCCACATATAACTATAACACAACAATTTTGCAAATGACTCTCACTGCTGTCAGTGCAGAAAAAAAGGATTTCAATCCTGTCCCTCTAAAACCAACTAAGTTAACTTGACTCCCTGATAAAAATTAGTTCAATCACACTGATTAAAAACATACAAACGTGGACCACCAATGATATGATATAGAATATACATTATGCACACACTTGCCCCACTGAAAATAAATAGTACCATGAACATGATGAATACAAAGTTCTGCAAACTCACTGCCAAGTGCCTAGCCCACATATTTTAGAAAAATCAATTAATCTAATATGGTTTTAAAGACTTTTAACAAATTCCTCCCAGCTTGCAAAAAAATAACCAAGTTCATTACAGTATAAAAACTATAAACTTGCCCACCTGAATTTTAAAAAATATTATACATTCTGCCAGGAACATATATATTTTGAATATTGTTAGATGTACTGTTCCCAGATTCTTTGATAGACTCGCAAACATCTCAAAAAAAAAGTGCTACCTGGAAATGTACCCCACATCTGATATATATATAAGTTAACATACTTCACCACATAAAAGGGAAAATATAAATTACCCAAAATGATATTCTATTATAGATTGTGAATATGCAACTGAACTGCATCGGTCACAAATATATTAAATTGGCAATGTATTTTTGGCATATTTATTATTGTCATTATTTGAAAAATGCTTAATAAAGAAAACAATGATATCAGTCTAAGAAATAATATTAATTTATTTAAGATTTGTGTCATATTCATGTATTAATTGACATGCTTATAAACTGTTGTAATTTCTGCTTCTTGCTATGTTTTTGTATAGTTTTAAAGCCAGCAAATACGAATAAACTCACAAAACTTGTGACTAAACTAAGGGATAAATAAATACGGCCGTCAAATCTGTTGTCTGTTCTCTCTCATCATTGGTAGCGTGAATAAATAATCAATAGTAGAAAATGATACTTTTATTAATCTTCTAGAACAGCCGATATATTTTCATACATGTACAATATTCAAGCAACAATTATATAATTTACATACGGGGCGGAGCTACTAAAATAACATTCTTTCTCTTGTATTTTTGTACGGACCAAACTGGATTATCTTAATAAATTCTACAATGACAACGTAAATAAATGCAAGGCATACAGCTATCTGCGCTGCTTCTTACCTCTAAACTACGACCCTTACTTGTAATATAAACTGCGAGGCATACAGCTAAAGGCGCTGCTTCTCACCTCTAGGAACCCCCGGGCTGAGCCTTGCTGCAAGCCAAATGTAAACACAGCAAAGACTGACGAACGTGACGTTGCACAGGTATTTATTTGAAATTCCCGGAAGTAAATATTCTAAGCAGGAAGAAAAACATAACGTCAAACGCTGACATAAAATATACAAGTCCTTGACTCAAAATGCTTATAATAATACACTTTTGTTACTAAAACAATCAAGACATATTATTTCTTTCAGTTGAGAGCTCACAAATGAACACTTTTGGGTTCACGATTACAATATTTACCCAATGGTAACGTTCTGAATAATACATGACAAATTTGCGCCATATATGACGTTATCGATACATCTAATAACATAAAGTAAAACGTACGTTAATTACTCATTCAATATACTAGAAATACTAGAAATAACTTCTGACAACTCATATAAACTCTCTTAATACAATATTTCTTTACTTGGAAATAACCAATACACACATTTAAAACATAAACATAAACTTTAAAACACATCAATACCCAGCCATTATAATTTTGCTTATGAGACAAATGGCATAAACAAAATATATACATGTTCTTAAAAATTCTAACATATTCTTTCAAACTCTTAACTTTAAAGCAGAATATCTCAGATAAGTTTGATTTAGATAATTGTTTTTGGCATGAAATTGATCAGAGTTTATGTTGAAGCACTTGTTATGAGAAATGTGGTTGCATGTTGGACAGGCTTGTTTGTCATCCCTCATTTCATCATTGCACACTAGACATTTTTCATCATCTATCGTCTCCTCTCTTAATAAAACTTCAGCAGCCGTGATAGCATACGGTACAGTAATAGGTTGCTTGCTACATGTTTTACAGCAATAGTCAATATGTGGTAGGTTTTGAATTTCAGTGAGGGATAATTTTTCACAAGAGTAATGTACCCAGTGACCATTTATACACTGTACTGCCCTAGTCTTGCAATTACGTTTACAAAAATATTTTCTTCACTATCAGGACTTTTAAAGAATTGCTATTGATGCAACATTTCATATTAACCTGATTCTCACTATGACTTGTAGGAAGTATATTTAATATAAATACTTTTAAAACTTATTCTGTTGAAAAAAATAGAATGTTTTTCACACTTAAGTAAAAAATGATTTTCATCTTTTACCTCTCCCGATTTACATACATTGCAAACTCGTTCATTGGTGGGTAAACCTAAATGTCACACTTTTTCTATGGCAACATTGTGTGCACTCAATCTTATTTTACACAGAGATGACCTTTCTAATTTGTTCTTTAGAACATCAACGTAAGAACTATGCTGATTTGAATTATAAAATGTTTGATAAAATTTTAGTTTGGATGAATTGTAAATTTTTGATGATTGATCCTGCGTGCACTGATCAATCACTCATTGTTTGATACTTGGTAGATATCCAGCAACACCACATTTCCATATAAAAAAATAGAGACAATTTTTGCAAAACATTGAAGGTTCTTGACTTGGTACAAACCTCTAGAAATGATTAAAAGGAGATTTGGGGTATATATCTATGAGACAGCAACCAAATGACAAAAATAACAGAAAGACATCTAGTGGCAATATACAGTTTTCAGCAACAGACAGGTGTCCCAATATTTCAAGCCCTAAGTCGCTCCAAGTCTATAAAATTTGTGAATAAATTTAGCAGAAACCATTAAAGATCTGCTATGAGAATATATGTATATATATGTATGTGAATAGAACAAATATGGAACACCAAATGATACCATGAACACGATGAAGAAAACAAAAAAACATTTTAAACATTTTCAGATCAAATCTAATTTTATTGGTGATAAAAAGTTTGGAATTCTAAGAAATGTTATTGCAGAATTACAGTAAATGTAAATTTAAACCTACATCTGTTTTTTTTTGCAGACATAACAAATACAGGAAGATGTGAAGGAGTTTATTTCTAGTGATATGTTTATAGACAAATCTTGTGTATGTCAATATGGAGATGAACGGCAAGGACAATTCTAACAACTCGGACACAGGTCAAAGTTCATCCCATTCTAAGTTTTCTGACTCTAGTAAATTGATAAATAGTAACAAAACTCTCAGGGTTTCTCTGGTTAAACTGAAACTTGACAACCTTCCTCTCAATGTAAAATCGTCCACCAATGTCACAGAAAGAAAACAAAATGATCAAAACACAACTGTGAGCCAAGAGTCTAAAGATACCTTTTCCAAGATTCCAAGAAAGCTAAATTCCTGTAACAGAACATTTAGATATAGAGCGACAGAAAAGCAGAGCAAAGTGACATCTGATAATATAACAGAAAATTGTCAGGATGCTAATAGGGAAGTCAATGAAAAAAGAAATTTGACTGTTGAGCACACAAAATGTCAATCTGGTCATCCTAATAATGAAACAGAACATTTTAACACTGGTAAAAATAAATACACTGTTAAAAGTACATGTAGTAGTGATATTGAAAATACACTTACTTCTGGACTATCACAAACTAGCATTTATACACACGACACTAATAATACCGACTCTATTGCCATTGGAGACATAACACATGAGCCATCTGGTCACAGAGGACAGTCAGACACTAGTATTCATGGGGATGATACTAATAATACCAACTCTATAGCCATAGAAAACATTACAAATGAGGCTCTTGCCAAAGAAAGACCTGCAGATGAAACTGATACAGCTGACAATGCTAAAGAAAACACAACACATGAAACTGATACAGCTAACAATGCCATAGAAAACACTACACATGAAACCAATAGAGCTGACAGTAAAGAAGAAAACACTACACATGAAACTAATTCAGCTAATAGTGTCAAAGAAAACAGTGTACATGAAACTAATACAGCTGACAGTGCCAAAGACAACACTACACATGAAACTTATTCAACTGACAGTGCCAAAGAAAACACTACACATGAAACTAATACAGCTGACATTGCACAAGACACTAAACATGAAACTTATTCAACTGACTCTGCCAAAGAAAACACTACACATAAAACTTATACTGCTGACATTGCCAAAGAAAACACTACACATGAAACTAAACCAGCTGACAGTGCCATAGAAAACATTACACATGAAACTAATTCAGCTAACAGTGCTGTAGAAAACACTACACATGAAACAAATATAGCTGACAATGCCATAGAAAACACTACACATGAAACTAATACAGTTGACAGTGCCATAGAAAACACTACACATGAAACTAATACAGTTGACAATGCCATAGAAAACACTTCACATGAAACTAATACAGCTGACAGTGCCATAGAAAACACTACACATGAAACTAATTCAGCTGATAGTGCCATTGAAAACACTACTCATGAAACTAATATAGCTGACAATGCCATCGAAAATACTACACATGAAACTAATATAGCTGACAATGCCATAGAAAACACTACACATGAAACTAATATAGCTGACAATGCCAAAGAAAACACTATACATGAAACTAATAAAGCTGACAATACCATAGAAAACACTACACATGAAACTAATATAGCTGACAATGCCATAGAAAACACTTCATATGAAACTAGTTCAGCTGACAATGCCATAGAAAACACTTTATACGAAACTTGTTCAGCTGACAGTGCCAAAGAAAACACTACACATAAAACTAAACCAGCTTACAGTGCTATAAAAAACACTACACATGAAACTAATACAGCTGACAGTGCCATAGAAAACACTACACATGAAACTAATTCAGCTTATAGTGGCATAGAAAACACTACACATGAAACTAATATAGCTGACAGCGACAAAGAAAACAATTCATATAAAACTAGTTCAGCTGACAGTGCAAAAGAAAACACTACACATGAAACTTTTTCAGAGAATAGTGCAAATGAAAATACAACACATGAGTTTGTAAAAGACCTCAGAATTGATCATTTGACTTCTGATAACTATCAAACAGACAATTGTGTAAATAACACAGAACTAAAATTTGGCAATAATATAAATGGGTTAAAAAAAAGAAAAATGAGAAAATCTAGATGGGATGTGGTCACACCTCTATTTAATGCAGTGAATGTAAACAAAGAAGGAATTGTAGTCAACAGTGATGCTGGAATAAGGGGAAATCCAGATAATAATTTACTCCAGTATACTGGAAACAATGACCTAGAAAGCCCGAATAACTCCAATGACAATATCAATGAGCCAAAGAAAATGAGGATATCAAGATGGGATACAGTAGTGCCTCCTGAGCCTCACAAAAATTGCATTGAAATAAATGTGGCACTCAGCTCAAACAAATTTTCACACCAATCATTTCAAAATGGAAAAATCAGGAAGTCGAGGTGGGACACGGTTGAAACAACATCTGGTCTGAATATAAACAACAATAAGGATAGAACAGCGAGCTTTGACCTATCTGATCCAAACATGAACACCAATAAGGATGGAACATCCAGTAATGATGACACACAGAAACAGCTAGAAACAGCTGGCAGTGTCAGGAAAGGACAATCAAACACTAAAACCAGTTCAATTGATTCTAAAACAACTAGCAATGATGGAAAGCAGAGAAAATCAAGTTCAGAGAATGTTACAGCTTTATCTGATTTTTACAGAAGCCTTTTTGATAGAGATGGAAAAATAAGAAATGATAAAAAATTACATGAAGTTGAAAATAAGAAAAGAAAGCAGCATTCCTTTGCAAATTCACATGTACCTGCAAAGATTTCCAATCACAAAGAAAGAAAGTTGGACACTCATTACAAGAAAAGTAAATTGAACACTCAAAATAGTTCACTCCATACTGGTAAAAGTAAAAACCATGAACACAAAAAGGATACTACTCGTCAGAATATTAAGGATGAAAAAGCAAACATCAAAAAAGAAAAAAGGTTTTCCACAAACCATGGCAAGATTAATGGTACAGACAGAGAAAAGTCCATCACAATAGTAAGTCACAGAATGAGTGGGACTATTATTCCAATGAAGTGCAACGTATGTTCCAAAGTAATAAAAAATATTGATAAGTTGAAAATGCATATAGATAAACATATTGGACAGAACCTTAAAACATGTACATCTGCTGAGAAATCATTTTTACCTGAAACAAAGAAAGAACCAAACAAGTCAAGGGTCATATTTAAATGTGAGATTTGTGAGAAACAGTTTAAAAAACGTGGAAATGTAATGATGACATCCAAAAAGACCGCTGATAGTGGTCTAAAATATAAATGTTTTTCATGTCACAATTCTGGGAAAAAACGTAATGATGGTTCATCAAAGCTATCTGTTAACAACAAGAAAACATCATTATCAGTAGATAAAGAAAAAACTGTAGTAAAAAACAATGGACCAAAAGTATCAATTGATACAAGTAAAGAAAATTCAGCCATTCAAGGATATCAGGTGGAAGATAAAATACCTAGCCATTCAGGTAAAATCCTCAGTAGCAAAAATTTAACAGAACCTGTCAAAGATTATGGACCAAATCTTCCCTGTGAAACTGCATCAACCAAAGTTAATGGACCAGATATTTCCTGTCAAACAACACCTGTTCAAGATAAAAAACAAGAAGTTTTGCACACTTGCGAACTATGTGGAAAAAACTTTAAATCGAAATCAAAACTAAATTCACATGAAAAAATTCACACTGGAGAATTAGATTTTTTTTGTAAGACTTGTGGAAAATACTTTCATTTTTATGATGATTTGGTAGTGCATGAAATAACTCATAGTGACATATATCCATTTGAATGTGGGGTGTGTGGTAAAAAGTTCAAAACTCCAGAAAGTGTTTCTCGTCATTTATGGACACACACTGCACGCAGGCCTTTTAAATGTTCATTTTGTGATAAATCTTTTGCTACATTTATTAACAGGAGAAACCATGAGTTGATTCATACAGGAGATCGACCTCACAAATGTCATATGTGTGACAAAGCATTCCGACAAAGGTCTGTATTAGTTCGACACACCAGGTGGCATAATAATGAGTATCAGTACAAGTGTGATCAGTGTGAAAGAGGGTTCTTTTCCACAGGTGAACTTAAAGTTCATATAACAAGAGTGCATCATCCTGAGAGAAAAAAATTTGCATGTGAAACATGTGGAAAAAAATTCACTCATAATAAAGATTTGGAGATGCATTCAGTTACGCATACCAAAGTAAAAGCATTTGATTGTCCATTGTGTGATAAGAAGTATGCTCGTGCTTATAAATTGAAACTTCATATGGAGATTTTTCATAGAGGAATAAAAAGATACACTTGTGATGTCTGTGAAAAAAAGTTTGGTAGAAAATGCGAATTGGACAACCATTATAAATCTCATACGAAGGAAAAACCGCATAAATGTAGCATTTGTGGACAAACATTCTCTAGATTAAACAATTTGAAATTCCATATGGAAATTCATGATGACAAAGTGCACACATGTGATGAATGTGGTAAACTGTTCCAGACAAGTAGGAATTTATATCAACATAAAAGAATGCATAAGAAACAAAAATTACCAAAAGAATATAAGTATTCTTGCTCAATTTGCAACAAAAGATTTAGAAGTTTACATGGTAAAAAATCACATATTATGATACACACAGGAGTTAGGCCATTTGCTTGTAATCTTTGCGACAAGCGGTATACAAGCAGCAATAGTTTAAAGGATCATAAACTCTCTGAACACACTAAACTAAGACCACATAAATGTGATATATGTGAGAAAACTTTCGTAAGGAAACAAACGTTAATTGCACATAAGAAGGTACATATAGGAGCAAAAACATTTGAATGTAAACATTGTGGCATAAAATATACTGAAAAATCTAGTTTAAAGAGGCATAATAAAAATCTGTGCAAAAAACTAAATCAAAAAGGATCAAATGAGAACAAAAATTCTGATACCAATAAAGGAAAAATATCTACCATAAATGGAAAAGCTTCAGCAGATATCAGAGAGACACCAACAGTTCTTACTGATACATCAGATAATTTGAGTGAGACACAAAAAGAACTCACTGAGATACCAGAAAATATCAATGAGACTCAAAAAGATAGCAATGCCAATGAGACACAAAGATATTAGTGAGACAACAGAAAATATCAGTGAGAAACCAAAGGATATTAGTGAGACACAAAATGATATGAGTGAGACACAAAATGATATAAATGAGACGCAAAATGATATGGATGAGACACAAATGGATATATGTGAGACATAAAAGAATATATGTGAGACACAAAAGGATATATGTGAGACACAAAAGGATATGTGAAATGTAAAAGGATATTAGAAGGAGACACAAAAGGATATATATGTGAGACGTAAAAGTATATTAGAAGGAGACACAAAAGGATATATATATATATATATATATATATATATGTGAAACGTAAAAGGGTATTAGAAGGAGACACAAAATGATATATATGTGAGACACAAATGGAATTAATGGATATATGTGAGACATAACAGGATATATGAGACTCAAAAGGATATATGTGAGACACAGAAGGATATATGTAAGACACAAAATGATGTACATGTATGTAAGACACAAAGGGATTATATTGATAAACAAAATGATATTCGTGAGACTGAAGACAATATTTCTGAGACATGACCAAATATTAGTAAGACAACAATAAAATCTGTTTGACACAAACTGATATAAGTCTGATTCCACTTACCTTGAGGGGGTTTGTGTTGCTCAGTCTTTAATTTTTATACGTCCGTTTACGGGACGTATTATGTTATACCGTTGTCCGTCTGTCTGTCCGTCCGTCGTCAACATGTCGGACATTAACTCAAAAAAGCTTTAACCAATTTGCATAAAACTGTGAATTGTTTATATCTATTGACGTGAGCTCCCTTTTGTTTTTTATAAATTTTAGATTTTACGTTTCCGAATTATGGGGTTTTATTCATTAAAAAAAGGGGGATTTTCCAGTTTTTGGACAATAACTCAAGAATGCTTTCACCAACTTGCAAGAAATTGTGGTGAATTGTTTATATCTATTGACATGAGCTCCCTTTTGATTTTTACATATTTTAGATTTTATGTTTCCGAGTTGCAGGGTTTTATTCATTAAAAAAGGGGGATTTTCCAGTTTTCGGACAAAAAAATCAAAAATGCTTTCAGCAGTTCTTATGAAACTTTGGTGAATTGTTTATATTAATTGATGTAAGCTCCTTTTAGAATTTCATAAATTTTACATTTTACATTTCTGAGTTATGGGGTTTTTTATTCATTAAAAAAGGTGGCATTTTCCAGTTTTCGGACAATAACTCAAAAATGCTGTCAGCAATTTTCATGAAACTTTGGTGAATTGTTTATACCTATTGGTGTAAGCTCCCTTTACATTTTCATAAATTTCTAATATGACATTGAGAAAATAATTGAACTTTAATTGTTTATAGTCTTGACAACAGATTTACTAAGTATTGCACAACAGCACAGTGTATTGCACAACAGCAAGAAATCTTTAATTGAATATAAATTCAATTCATATAACCAATTTCAAGTTCTTTGACTACATTTATTCAGAAACCTATAATATGTCAAATATTTAATCCAATCCAAATTCAGACCTGTATCAAGCTTGAATATTGTGTCCATTTTTGACCCAACAGTTCAGGGTTGGACCTCTGCGGGCGTATCCAGCTGTGCTCAGCGAAGCAGTTTATTTATGTGATTTTGTGAACTTGTTTGTTTTTTCATTATCATTCCTCTTTTGCAATTTTATTTGTCTGTCCGTATATCTCAACTTAAGGAAATGACCAATTAACTCTGAAGAGGGGGTTATGGTTTTTTCATAAAAAAAAATATTCTGATCCTCAATTTGATGAAAAAAAATATTGTGGTCAAGCATTGTCAAGCAGATGACAAAAAAAATATTCTAAATCCAGATTTTCCCCATACCTTATAGTGTTAAATTTTGAAAAAAATGATTTGATTGATAGGGTCGAAAAACTAAAATAAAATTAAATGTTCGTGCTTTGCACAATTAAAATTTCTGACTCAGACAAAAAACCATATTGCCCCCCCTTGAAGTTAAATGGTTTCTTCCTTATAGGTACAAACATGACAATTGTACTAGACAATTGCAATCTTGATATATCATGCAAATTTCAATGATTTTTGAAATAGCAAATAAAAAATTATAATGGGAGAGGATAAAGATTCAGGAAAGTTAACTGTCCATTCAATATCTCATAACTAGATTAGTTTATAATTACCATCGTATGATCAGAATCTGGTCAAGGGAATAATAAATTTTAAAAGTTAGGACAAATATTAAACTCTCCTATTCAACAAGGAACAAAAGATTCTACTAATCATTTTCTCTCTAAACTGTTGCATACGTGAGCACTGCTGTTTCAGTTTGGATGGAGGTATCACATATGCCAGTCTAAGATAAAGATACTGTTTAAATGTGCAGATGTTAACTGTTACATCAAAATAATTGAGTTAATTATTTTTATGTATACTCCAAAGTTGTGTAGGGTATAATGATTTTGACTGGTCTGTCAGTCTGTCCATCAGTCCTGATCTTGTCATCGCAACTCCTCTCGAACCACACAACAGAATTTCATGATACTATAGGACATACTATGTAGTTGTGCATATTGACTGGAAATTATGATTCAATTTTTTTCCTATGAGTTATGCCCCTTTGAACTTCAAATTTTGAACATACTACTGCAATAGTTGTCATCGCAACTCCTCTTAAACCACACAGCAGATTTTCATGAAACTTTGTTGATAATTAGGACATACTATGTAGATGTGCATATCGACAGGAAATTATGATTCTTTGTTTTTTACAGGAGTTGTGCCCCTTTGGACTTGAAATTTAAATATACTACTGTAACAGTTTGTCATTGCAACGTCTCTGAAACCATGCACACTTCAGAATTTCATGAAACTTTGTAGTTAATGAGGACATAATATGTAGATGTGCAGATTCACAAGAAATTTTATCAATTGACTTGTGTAGGAGTTGTGACTGAGTCTTTGAATTTAGGAATCTGGTGAGATTTTGTTTTATGTGGGGGCAGGGGGTATGCGAGTGTGCTCACAAATAATTTTTAATATTTCTGTGTAGAATGAACAGGACAAAAATTTGAGAATATTTTTTGTGTTGCCTTTAATATTCGACCATTGTAACACTTCAATGAAGATTGTTGGGTTTTTTTGTACATTTTCCAGTAAAGTGAAATTGTAATTTTTGGTTTCAAAATATTTATTAAGTAAATGAGTTAATTTACAGCTTATTCAAACCATTGACACCCCTTCGATTGAATATGTTATAAGACAATATAATACAAAGTAATGTAAGATATCCAGAATAATTGTTATTCATTGAAGAGGATGTTGTACATGATGTTTTACTATCTGTTTGTGCTGTCCAATCATTTCCTTTCTGTTCATCAACTTCATATTCACCACAGTACCCATCTAGAATAGGTTGAGCAGGGATACCACGTCTAAAACAGAAAATTTAAATCATTTAAAGATCAATATTGCAATGAGATAGATTTGTTTATTATGAGATTTTTTTCATTAAACTTTATTTTTTTTAAGTTGATACATTCCAGTCAATTTTTTTTTTTTTTTGGGGGGGGGGCATTTTCAACAAAGACAAATATATCTACATCTTGCAAAAAAAAGTATTATTAAAATACTTTTTTTCTTTTAATTTAGCTGAACAAGTTCATATACTGTGGATTGATGATTGTTGTTGGGGGGGGGGGGGGGGGGGGGTGTCAAATTTCCTGGAATCTGTGGGTGGAGGTGAACCATTAGTTTAAGTGATCAATGAAGTACACATTTTTCTATAAGATTGTCTATAGACTTTTGTAGAACCAGGAAATCCAATATCCAAGAAAACGTATGTTTTTCTTAATCCACAAAAATAAGTACCCACAAATATACATGAGTCCACAGTAATGAAAGTGAAAAAGAACAATTACCAAGTCTAAAAAGAACAAGTTTAAAAGTACCTGACCCTATCAAATTTCAAGAACAAAAAATGCATTGCTGACCCACAGAAGTGTAATTCAGAGTTAGAACACACCATTGGTGTTGCTCATCTTAAATATATGCATGAGCAGTTTCCCATATGACAATAAGTGACCAACAGTTAGTTACCTTATTTGGTTTGACAGGTAAAAACGTCATACATGTACTTTCTATTGCACTGTTTTGTTTTTACTAGTAATACGAATATAGAGTTGCAATAAACAGGACATTTAATAGGTACTTTATTTAATATTAAAATTCTCAATTTGAAGTAAAATTCCTAAAGTTTTTTTATTTATTTTTTTTTTTGCAAAGATAGAGACTGTTCTAATAAACCTTAAGTTATCACCTCACTAACCTAATTTTTTACATTATTTAAAAAAATCCAAAGACCAGAGGTTTGTACCCTGGAAATTATCCCCTTCTGAACCAGAAACTATGCTGTGTACAATAGGTGTTCAGATGAATAGTATATTATTATTTCCATTGTATGAAATGAAAATCTCAGTTTACAGTAAGGTGACAATTGTATTTAATTTTCTGAATATTTTTTCCTGAATATCTATATATTCATTATACTTTGATAGTTTATGATATGATAATTTACTGCAATTATACCCAATTAGATTTAGTGACTTCTTATGAATTAAGGTTGCAAACGTAATTGAAGGTTTGTGAGAGAATGAAATACAATAGGAAAAATCTGAGACTCGGTTTTGAAAGTCAAACTGTGTTGCTCAAGAATTTATCAAAAATTTTGGGATGCTATGAATAACAAAGAAGCTTATTTCATTCAAATGTGGTCATCACAATCTAGCAACAAATTACATAATAATCAATTATGTAATAATGAAATTATCACCATTTAAAAGATTAATCTTTTTTCTTTCTTTTGGTTCCTCATTTATAAATTTCAGAGCTGGATGAAAGAAATTACATCAGTTTAAAGTTGTCTGATTGGGGGTGAAAAAATCTTTGTATTGTGCTATCTTAAACAATTCTCTGCAGGATATCATGTTATATTACTGTATTTGACAAATTTCTGAAAATGTTTAAATTGTATTAAATATATAGAATGGTATGTACAATAGAATTGATTTTAGCTTATGTTTAAATTTGTCTCATTTGTTAATTTTTTTATAATACAGTACAGAAAAATAGTTTTGATAATTTCCTGAAATAGAATTTCGTTTAAGAAATAAATAAATATTTATATTTACCATGTTTACTATGTTTTTATTCCATAAAATTAATTTTCAACTTTAATTAATACGAGTCAAACTATTGACCTAATCTGATTTTTATGACAATCTTTGCACCCACTTTGCAGAGATTTATTTCCATTGAAAAAATACTATTTGGTATTCCCCTAGATTAGACAACAAAACTATGGAAGCCAAATATATGATAGTTCTCAACAGAAAGTGATGTAAAACAACTAATCACTTTGAATTCGGGCTGCATGTGTCCATCTAGTAGAAAGCAGGGTATTATTCATAGCAATTTGCCACTGGACATTAAACAGCCATCTGTCATCATCATTATTTTGGGTTTTGTTTGCAAACTAAAGTAAACGGAGAAAAATTGTAATTAGCAAAATAAGATCTTCAAATTGGTCAACTCATTATACATGTTATACCCTTTTAGATGTTTTTTCCTTAGTTCTTTTGAACCAATATTTCTAAGTGGTTAAGTTGAAATCATCCCTCCGAAAATTTTACTGGCACCATTATATAGGAGTAGGTTGACCGTTATGAATTATCTGTTTCAGAGATGACGAAGGATATGTTCCAATAGTTGTAACCACAGCCCCGTCCTCTTTTCCTCGAATGTGACCTACCGATTTAGACTTATCACCTGGTTTGTACTTACTACTTACACGAGCAACACGACAGGAGCCACATTTGGAGTAGGATCTGCTTACCCTTCCGGAACACCTGAGATCACCCCCGGTTTTTGGTGGGGTTCGTGTTGCTCAGTTTAGTTTTGTATGTAGTGTTTTGTGTACTGTTGTTTGTCTTTTTGTTTTTTTTGCCATGGCAATGTCAAGTTTGTTTTCGAATTATGAGTTTTAATATCCCTTTGGTATTTTTCGCCTCTCTTTTTTAGACAGAAACTGTATAATGCAGAAAGATCAAATCTACAAATTAGTCAAAATGACTGAAATTATCAGTATATTCCTCTTAGGAGTTATTGCCCTTTAATGATGACATTTGACCAATTTTAGGGTTTTAGCTAATAAATTGAAAACCATAACAGATAGACTGAAACTTCGAACAGCAAAATTTATCAGAAACACAAAATCTACAAATAGGATCAATTGATTCCTTTTACAGTAGTTGTTGCCCCTAAATTTCAATTTCAACTATTCTAAGATCACCTGGAGCTATTGCCATCGCTTGGTGTCCATCTTCATCTTTGTCATAAACTTTTTTCAAATATCTCCTCTGAAACTACTGAACAGATTTCAACCCAACTTGAGGTAAATGATCCCGAGGATATGTAGTATAAAGTTTGTGTCTTTTTTCCCGGTTAGTTAACAAACATGGCCACCGTGGCATAAAAAAAATAGAACATGATGGTAAATGCATTAATTGGCTTAATTAAAAGCTATAATAAATAGAGAAACTCTTGACAGAACGTAAATGCTCAGAATGTTCACATCTACATGTACCTACTTTCTGTTTGCACGAAAATTATCAGAGGACTCCTTGAGGAGTTATTACCCGAAATTGACGATTGTTGACTAATTTTAGTGTTTTTGCCTATTTTTCTCGAAAACTATATGAGATGAGAAGAAATTGTAAACATCAATTTTTTTTAGAAGTATAAGATATACAAAAATGTCAAAAACAACCAAAACTATTGGATGACCCCTTGGGGAGTTATAAACTGATTTTGACTAATTTTACAATCCGTCATATAATTTGAATTTTTCAAAGATATTCTTCTCTTAAACTAGTTAATTGATTTCAACCAAATGTGGGGTGAATGATCCTTAGTGTATCTAGAATTAAATTTGTGTTTTATTTTCCAGTCAGTCTACATCATGGCTAAAAATAGAACATAGGTAGAATGCATTAATTTCCCTGTATCTTGAAAACTATATTAGATAGAGAAAATCTGACAGGGCAAAAATGATGAACATCCACCTACTTCCTATTTTCACCAACATTTATATCAGATGACATATCTTTACCAGGTGAGCGATTCAAGCTCTTATGAGCCTCTTGTTTTTTTACTTATTATCTTGAAAAGTCTAATGGGAAGACAGAAACTGCCGCCAAGCTGCGATGCTTATTCTCTTTGCAAGACAAGACAAGACAATTTATTACAACTTAGGCAAACGTATGGTGCTACAAGAGGATAACAATTACATATATACTCATACATTTACAAGCAAGACACACAACAAATAAATAAGTGATATCATACAATAAAACTGAAATATACCATATTTGGTTGATTTGTTTGCAAAATTCTTAATTGCAACGTGGATATGAAGTTATTGTAACATGCTATGAATTAAGAAAATATTTTTTCAATATGTCTTAGAAACACGCACACTTTTGTTAGCACTGGCACGTTACAGTGTGATAATAGACCAGTAAATTTCAATTGGGAAGGATTTTCTGTGTAATATGTAGGTATATACCTTTCTCTTAAAGAGTTTAGACATAATTTGTTCATTGGAACATACAAAAAAATAATGATATTCGTCACCAATTGTATTTGAATCGCAGTGACAACATATACGATTTTCTCTTGGTGTGTTTTTCCACCGACCAACTTCGATAGGGATTTTGATATTTGAACATCTAAATTTACTGTAGATGTATCGACCTGCCACTTTAAGATTGAGTAAATATGGCTCTAAACAAAACATTGTTTTGTATGAAGCATAAAACACACCTCTAGATGAGTTTGTCATATCAGCAGATAGACTCTGTCCGAATTGGTCAACCAATCTCTGTTTTATTTCTTTTTTTTTTCTTGCATATCTTGGCTAACTCAGTGTTATTGGATATATGTTTGCCAAGCTGAGAGGCATGCTCTATGACTCGTCATACTCTGTGTTAAAAACTCAACTTTTTCTCCGCGGTTACAAAGCTCGTTGTCGAAATCAACATTATTTTGAATCAGTAGTCCACAACTCCGACAATAAAGTACATTACTCTTTGATGTCAGATACAGATAATAACAATGTACTAAAACTATGACAATGTCATTTTATAAATTACATTAGTGACAGTTTGACATGCCTGCATTAATCGACGTACTCTAAATAGGTTTAATATATTGCAATATTGGTCTATCTTCGAAAAACAAAATTTCAAATGATTTCGTAAAAATGTCTATATAAAGAATCAGTCCAATGTGTGTGTAACTCGAATAATTCAAGCCCTTTCCGTGTCCGATTTTCTCCCACACATGTAGCCTTCGTAGATCAGCGGAATATAACGAC